ATAAGAAATTATTAGATTGTAGTTATTTCTAAAAGATATTCTTTTTCAGTTTTCATATCTGAAATTCCGTGCTAAGAGCTTATAAAGTAGCGTTAATCAGCATATTCTATATTTAACAATATTTGAAGAAACTTAACTTGAATAGGGCGATTTCATCAAAGTGAAGCGAAAATCCGAATCAAGGCAAGATGAGAAAGCGCGTTATCAGAATGATATGATATTACACATTTATAATGAAGGAAATAAGAAAAATACACGAAAGAGTTCAAAAGAAGAGTAAGAATTCGAGACGAGACTTTCGTTACCTTCTATGTCAGTTTTTACTGCATATTCATTGTATTAATTACATAAGTTAAAAAAGTTTAAACTTTCAAATTTCGCTTCAATCATAACTGAGGACATGATTGGATTTACTTTATAGAAAGTCTATGCTGCAAGTGTAAATGCAGAAAATAATCACTCAAAGGACATTCCTTTTCGAAATTCAATATTGCCTTTGAAATGATTTATTTTTGTTAAAAGAACATTGTGTCATGTCTGTTTCAATTCTATTTATTTTTCGCTGTCTTGATTATTTTTAATTGCGTGCGTAAGTAAGTAAGTTTGGAAAAATAAAACAGTCAACCCAAGATTTTGATCATCATGAGTAGAAAGATCCAATAATTTTAATTGTAAAATTCTTAATTTTTTTTTTTGACATTTCCATAAAGCTAGATATCAGTTATTCCACCCTTTTCAAAAAGCGGGGCATTCTTGTCTTAATGAAATAAATTGTCGTGTTCCGATCCGGTGGACCAAAATTCTTTATCATCTTCACTGTGATCACCGTTTTAAAAGAGCATCAGGAAGTTGTCTTACGTTTCCACTAAAATCACTTTGTTTAATTCTAACATAACGCATTGGAAACATATGATATAATTGATAGCAAAACACTTTAAAAAACCCAAATTTAACCAATTCTAATGGTAAGTTTTATTTTGTTGAAATATTATCAAAGAAACATAACTGCATGTATTCTTTAATTTTTTCAATGAGACGAGAAAAGTGTTAAAAGACGCCAGGTTGTCGCGTCACGTAAATCATGGTTTGTCTAAGATTTCCAATTATTTTCAAAGTAAAGGAGATTAAGGACACTGATAATGAAGAACAAGTTGAACCCGTCAGTTCGTTTCAAAGGCCTAGATATAGCCCTCGCCCGCCTGATACCCTTTGAGCCGTAACAAACACGTCCAAAAAGAAGCAACGCGTGATTAATTGAAAACAAGGCGATTTCACAGTTGTACACGAAAAAAATATTACCGCAGTTCGGCAAATACAGGTGTGTTTTTTACAACACATATCAAATAGAGTCCCCATATACTTCAGAACAAAAGTTGTCATTCCGTGATCGGTCAAAATTGGACACAAATTTGATTGTATTCAACTTTGATTGATCAGAATTGGACACTATTTCTAATTTGCTAAAGAAAAATAACAATTTTCTACAAATTGGATGTATATATATATATTTTTTTGTCGCTGTCAAGCTTCCCCTTTTCTCGTCACCTCACTATATAATATTGTCCGACTCAACGCCAACTTTCCTCAAATTGCAGCAAATTGGCCATAAGTGTCATGGCACCTTAGAGTCGCTAAAAATAATAACTTTCAATAATTACGTGTAAGGTACAACGTAGTTAATTTTAAAAAATTATTTCAACGTTTAATGCTGGGGCATGCCGGAGGAAATTTCATTTACTGAAGACATTGAAATGTGTGAAATCTGTATCCCAAATATGTTTGTAGTGAATATATGTTACATAAAACTGTTATTGGAATAATTTTGGCAAGTGTCAAATCAAAATAAAAAAGATTGGTGGCAGGAGTTGCTAAATGTTGGCTAAAAAGAATGCACACTTTTCCTGGCATTATCCATAATTTTCAGTGATTGAAAACAATCATGCAGTCGGTTTCAAATTCGAAATATCTCACTTTATATTTTACAGACATCTGTTTACTTTTTTGTCTTTAACTAAGTGAACGGCGACTTTCATTCCTTCTATCTTCGATTGCATGCAATTGCAGTATTCTAATTAAATGGTTATTTCAATGAGTAACAGGGTGGCATCTACCACTGGTGAGAGAATAAATGAAAAGATGAAAAAATAATGTAAGAAAAGAATGGCCATTAAGTATTTGATGTGAAATTGATATCTATAACGAATTACAAAAGAGGAATAAATGATACACTTCTTGCTGCTTGCTTTACGGTAACTTAATCTGATTAACATTTTGTTATAAACCCCAATCTGAGTGAAAATTTTCAGATATTTTGATATAGTATTTAACGGAGCTGTAAAAGATAGATCAAAATAACTGCACCTAACAATGGCGGGAGGTTTTGTTTAATTTCTTTTTTGAGTTGTCAGTAATATGGTGAAACCTTTGCGACGCCGTAGAATATCTGAGCAGCTATTTTAAAATGGTAAATTGATGTAGTCCTGCAACAAGACAAACAACTAGTACTTGTCAGATTGAAAAACCTCTTTTATTGTACTAAAGACAGTAAATAATTTGTAGCAGTTCATGTAAAATGTGAATTAACCAGTCCTGCAAGTAAACACCTTCATTTGAAACTTTTCATGTTTAATTTAGTATAGACTTAATTCCATAGTCTAACCATCAAACATCTCCGTGTACATTTGGCGGTAAATCAGTCATCCAAAAAACACGATGCCTACTCGTGGTGTTCACAATATGCACTCTTACATTCAGAAATCTTGCTTGTTTTCGGCCATTTTCCTGATCCAGTGCTTTACACTTGGAAAATGGTTTTACATAATATGTATTTAATATGTTTGTTGTAAAAATAAAAAAGGAATAATCTTTAATTTATGCTAAAGGTGCTAAATACCCCCCCCCCCAAAAAAAAAAATAAAATAAGCTAAAAGGCCTAAAGAGTATTGCAAATTTGCATTAATTATTTGTTTATGCCTCCTCTACAGACGCACTCACCGGTGTAGTCCGTTGGATTCCTCGGTCCAGACCTCTTTAAACCCCTTTTATTTTGGGCTTGAGACCGCTTGGAGGACGGGTATTTTGCCCACTCTCAGCCCCTTCAAACTTGGAGGTTTGACAATATTTGATTGTCAACATCAAATTCATACATAAGGACTAATGAACTTTAAATGTTGAAGTTTTTTCTTTTGTTACATATTTGTGAGAGTGGGTAAAAATTCGAACTCCATGCAGTCGCAAGCCAGGTGTGAAAAGAGGGTTAAGCACAATTTTTAGGCGGTTAAATTTACGTAGCTTCTCTGTCGCAATGACGATATCCCCCTTCATATTTGATGAATAGATCTTATGTGATTTAAAGCAACCGATGAAAGAAGAAAAGTTATTTTCATGTTGAAAAGTAAACGAAATGGATACAATAAAATCTGCAATTGTGGTTTTTATCAAGTTCTCCATTTGCACGTTTTGTTCGATCGTAATCTCTGATCCAAGTTATGTAATGCCATTTGCAGAATAGAATTTAGCCTCACTAATTTTTGTGCTTTTATGGAAGCCTGAGGCGAGTGTGCATATTGCGGAATCTTGGGGATTTTTTTCCATTCAGCACGCAGTGGTGCAGTTATGTGTTGTGTGGAGAATATGCCTTGCTGTAGGTAAGGTTCAAAGAAATGACGGTTGGTTCATATTTGTGAAGGAGGCCTCAAACTGTGTCAGGTAGTAAAATGTCTTGATATTTTAAGGGCTTCGGATTCAACACTATCTAATTCATACATAATAGGCATTTTAGATTGTCCTTAATAAAAGGCCAATGTTTTATATACAGGATTCCAAGTTCTACAAAAAAAGTAAAACATTTTGCTTGTGGTGTTAAAACAGCATCACATTACAATTGTGGATTTTTTATATTAATGATTGCGCTGTCGAAGGAAGACACTGTCTATTGTCTCTCTAAATGTACCAAAGAGAGCTTTACCCAACTGCAATGAGTAAAATGAATATGATTAAATATTTTGTGGAATTTTTAAGCTGGTAACGCTTCCTTATTATTATAAAATTGGATATTTTATTGTCAGATTACGAAAGAATCCATTTTATGAAGTGTAAAAGCATTACATTATTATCCTTTCGTATACCCTCGTTTTATTAGTTCTGAGCTCCACAATTGAGATGGATAAAAGTTGGACCAATGTACTCAATTAAATATGCCTCAGGAAATCCAACAAGACGGTTTGGCGTTTCAGGGCCAACTGTATAGCTCCTGTCAAATCCACAGGTCGACCCCGTGTCACTGACGACCTAGTGACCGTATCATCATCAACATTGCAAGAAGAACCTACACTTACTCTGCCATTGCCATTGCTACAAAATTACGGGCTCATCATTTGCTTCACCTTGCCCGCTAATCTGTGACATAGTCCAACATGGCTAAAGGGCAAACCAATGGTTAATACGTCTAAGTTAACACGTAGCCAAGGCGTGAACAGGGTGTGAAACATTTTGAGTAACAGTGTATTAGACCACATGTATTGACTGCGAATACACGTATGTATTGAAGCAATCGGATAACGCCAAAAATGCCTAGATGCCGATAATTAACCCAGCTGTGGTCAGTAGGGAGTGAACAAAATCCGGATTAACCCGGGTGTAGCATGAAAAACGGCTTATTAAGAATCTGATGATTTTCAATCTGAACGATTGTTTATAATCTTGTTGTTTTACCTCTTGCTGTTCTGGCAAAGTGCCATCTGCAAGTCAGCTATATACTGTCCTGTATTTTGAAATAAAAAAAGAAAAGAATTAACTCTGAAACAGGACTCCGCAGGCCCAACGTATGCCCAAACTCAGTCGCATAATGGCCAGTAAGTTCTAAGCTCTAATCAAAAGGTATTTGGAAACTCTCTTATCACCTCTCACCAAGCTTAATCATATGACGTCAGTATCGTTTTGGCTCATCAAGAACAACTCTTTAGTTGTAATCATTTGTTTATTAAGAAGACTATTCCATCTACGTGTTGCTATATTTCCACTGATAAGTGTTAATCTACAGTAAGAAGACGAGCGTGGCACTCGTTGTGAAAATCAATCTAATAATAAAATAAATAAGATAAGATTGGATAAATAATAAAAACCGTGTATTAAAATGTAAGAAATTGCAACGACTGAAAAGTGTATGAAAATACGAGAATAGCTAAAATGTGACATAACGCTACTAGACAACCATCGATTAAAGAGGGGAAATGAAACTAAACACTTTGCATATAAGGAAAGTACAAGCCCGCCTTAGGGACCTGCTTTTGTCCAAACATAAAAGATTGTCCGTACGCGACTTTTTGCAGGCCGGATATCAAACAAATTCGCCAATTTAGACGACTAGATTACATAAAATCTCAACTTGCCATCTAACACAGACCTGTTCTTACCATGGATATGGATGAAACTGAATTCATCTTCAGTGATATGGTCTAAATAACTGACCTATGCAGCGATGAACTTTCAAATAGACAGCATAATAATAATAATAATAATAATAATAATAATAATAATAATAATAATAAACATGAATTATTGTTTAGAAAAGTGCTTATCCACGAGGTCCTTTTGATTCAACCTGGAGAGCTTTTTGGGAAAAATTATTTTAGCAACGGGTATCAATCGTGCTGTAACCGAAGCGCGTTCACTTCCTGTTTTCCCGAACAATCCTCACGTAGTTCATAACGGCATGGCATGCTTACCGCATCGATCGAAATCATTACTAATGAAAAAGCTTGAATAAGAGTCAGGACTTCACTCGTATCAAACTGTAGGTATCAATAACACTATTTCACCTGCAAAATCTTTATACTTAAGGTGCACAATTCGCATCTATGGATCTTGACGTATAAATGTTTTAGGAGTGGTAGATATGATATATTTTATCCATTTATGAATATTTTCATATATGAATTGCATAAGAAATATATTACATTCAAGTGATCAGCTGGTCATCATTCGCTGCTGCGTATTTGTATTGCAGAATGCAGTGTAAAATGCTATGTGAGCGTAACGCTCGAAGTGTTATTCAAATGTACAAAAACGTACAGCATAAGGTTGTTGACAGTGCACATTCCGACTTAAGGCCCATATTCGGAAGCACGTACGTTCCCTTTTGATGTGTCTCTTCAAGGGGCGCATTTGCAACTCGATTCGCCTGTTCTGTTTAACATTAACGTTTCACTTAATGGAAACCCTTCTTTCTCATGTAAAATAAACAAGACGTGATTTGTTTGCGTGTCACCCTTCACACTTTGGCCGTAGAAGAGCACGGGTCAGTTTTGTGACAGGCGGTTCCAATTTTTGAATTCTTTGGTATTTCAGACATTTTAATGGCGTCGCCATTTGACTCCGATTCTTCACTTTGTTCTCGGTCTCTATGCTGACAAACCTCGTGGCAGTTCGGCACATTAGTGACAGTGATTTTTTCGTGTGGCACACAAGCATATACGGGTCTGTATAATACTGTTTCGTCGCCAGATTCTGTTCCATCGTATACCTGACCCAATTGGAATTCCGGGCTGATGTACATGCCCCCTTCCGCAGTGTCTACTCCGTGTTCTGAAACAAATTGACACGTGTTTTATTATCATCTATTAGTAAACTTGGTATCTAAGACTGCATGGCAGTAAAACAGTAAGACCTTTATGACTCGGTAAACTTGTCACTGAGTTGTTCTCAGCGCTTTGTTGGGACTGAAATGGCACCTTTTCCACAAAGCCATTTGAGTCGAAATTTGACTTAGAAAAGAGTGCCGAGAATTTTAGACGGCTATTTTGCGTCTGATGAAAAGTTGAAAAGGCAGGCAGCTTACCTCGCTTGTTCATTTTTTAAACTTCAAAAACAAATTGTTTTTATTGTTAATGGCGACAACTGCCCTCTTAGGTATATTTGTTTGTCAACTACTTCTATTGTAAGTGAATTGTATATGTAAAACGCTCTTACCCAAATACCGCACTACGAACTGGCTAAAAACTTAAGATATTTTATATTTCATGATTCTCTTTAAATTACTTAAACGTGTTCGAACCGAAACTGCGCCAATAAGCCTGATAGTGTTAACGCACTTCCCATTGCAGATTTGATACGACCCCTATCACTGAGGTTATCAAACTAACTTGCGAAATAACATCAGGTGGTTCCAGATTAAAAGATTACTGTATTTCGTGTCTGAAAGAAGCATGTTGTATTGATTTCATTCCAGTTTCCGAATCGTAGCTATGTTTCATGTGCTATGGAGGTTGCAGATAAGATTATAAGATGAATTCTGAATGCTTTTTACGAGTCGCTGAACCGACTGAAATGATTTCGGTGTAACACAGAAATCATTAAAAAGCCCCCAAACAACAGTGCATTAGTCCAATATTCTTCTTGTATCAAAAGAGGAAAATCGATGAAAAAAATTCAGATGAACGAAAAATTCACCTAAAATATCTTTTTACTATTGCATTCCTTTTCCGCTTCTTAGAGCGCTTTTCCGCTTCAGTGAACCTGTATTCGCACATACATGTAGATACGTGCGCTTGCAGTAAAGAAGTGTCGTCCCGTCGACAACACGTCGTATGTTGATAAGAAAAGAGTGCTGTCTTTACTGTCAAGCAGTTATAAATTTTCAGAGGCTTGAGGTCTTCGTTCCCGTCTACCTACCATATTTAAGTTCTGGCATTGGAGCATTGGGTATTCTAAATGGAACTGTGGCGATTGTCATTGGGAAATCAATCTCTAAATCTTCTCCAGCCTTGTCACGGCCCAGCGAGACCTGTTGGAAAAAGACCAAAATATGATTGCAAAATTTTAAATAAAATGAAATTCTTATTTCAGACATTCCAAATTTCAGTTCATTCGAATGGAAAAACAGTGTGTGTGTGTGTGTGTGTGTATGTGTGTTGTCCATTTAGTATATCCTAGCGTACTTTTGAAATTGAGTGATGAACAATGCATTAAATACATCTCATTGACAAACTGTATACCAAATAACGATTGGCGTGTATCGGAATGTTGGCACGCGTATATTTAGGGAAGTTTTGTTCCCTTAAAGCATTAATGATTCCATCAGACCGAATCAAAGGCCGTGTTCCCAAAGGCATCGTCATAGAAATAGTAAGTCGTAATATAGGCATCAGTGTTTTTTTTTTTTTTTTTTTTTGGTAACTCGGTTTTGATTGCCCAAAGGCTGTGTCTGAGATGTTCGGCAATTGGCAGCATTGGTCGCTGTTCTGATGATAACACAAATATCCCCTGGCGAAAAAAGGCCTCTAACAGCTCTTTTGTGTCATACCATCCGGTCATGTTAGGTCCATATCATAATTCATCTCTTCCTTTGTGCATCAAAACCAGACTGTTATTATTTTTAGCTGTTGGTAAGTGCTGCTCTTGCGTCGATAAGCTTAATTAATTTTGCCACCCCCTCAACTCATAAACAATTCAACGATAGCATCGTATTTGAGAGACGTAGTGTCAGAAAGGGTATTAGATCGCATGCTTAAAAGAATAAACGCCCACAGCTTAAATCAATGAAATGATAAAAAATGCAACCCAAAGACTCGTTTCTATTGACGTTTATGATTAACAGTTCACTTTGTATCTAGTTAAGGTTATTAACTAACGCAAACTCAATGAGCCAATTTTATACAGACTTTATGCAACACAAAAATAGAAAATATAGGAAAAGAAACAACTGGAAAAAACAGTTTACTGTTGGTACTTTTCTTTCAAACAGTCATAGCAGTCAACATTGGACCCAGAGACTAGGAAGAGGTGTCACTGTTTTTCAGTCTTTGCTACTAGTATTATTAACACACTACGAAGAAAATTCAATATCTTTTCCGTAAAGGCATGTACACATCACAAAAAGGAACCATACGTACCCTTAGTATATAATAAATCTGTATAACCTTGCAAACATCTATAAGAGTCGGTGGCATCACAGGGACTTGGAGTTTGGTATTTATGTCGTCAAACTTGGTAGTATGGTGTGCTGGGACAAGGTCACTTTTGTATTCCCACACCCTGTGGTGTATTTCTTTGGATAGTCCCAGTACGCCTTTGTTTATGAAGTATTCTACATACTAAAATAAATAAAATTAGATAAATTTTGTTGGAAATTCATATCATATGAATAATGTCACTGTGTTAATAATCATTTAAAGTATTTTAGAACTTTCTCACGTCTAAATCAATTATAGACGCTGTAATCAATTTTTTCCCAATTTGCCTAAGATCACATGGGGTCTACAATACCATCTTTATCTGTACTCAAAGAAAAAGGGGGTACCCCTAAACTGTTGTTCCTGGACTGTCGTTCCTTTTTTAGTGTCGACATTTTTGTCCTCCGCCCCAGTGAACAGGTCTACTATCTGGTTTCGTTTTGTTTTCATTCCAGACAGCGATTTAGCTCATAGAAAGTATCACGCAAATATAATACCATAGCTAGTCACGAGCTCAGCTAAATATTAAGCGCAGACATATCAAACCGGAAAAGATTAACGATAATTCGTTTGTTTACAACACGGAAGATTTTGCTGCATCTGGACTTAAAAAGGGGAAAAAAATTATTGCAAGGTGATATTATCACTTGCAGGTTCATTGTACCCTTCACTGTTCATTGTTGCAGGTCCATTATTGCAGTACGCTATAAATGTTAGGAGACCTATTTCAGAGCCCTACCTGTATGAGTCTCACCATAAGCCAAACTTTGTTTCCACTACCATTTTGTACCTCAGCCTTGAGCTTAATATTCTCTCCACAACAATACCCGCTCCTGTCCAGGGTGGCTTTTAATACAACAGGACCTTTATTGCAGCAGAAACAGCACGTGGTCAGTTTGTCCTCTGCCGTAAGGGCTGTCTAGAAACAAACACGTAAATAAACAAAATCCAATAAACTAAATATGAAATGGAATATAAAGGAATATGCATGGTTATCAAATATAAGAATCGACAGGGCAATTACTGTACCAAACAGGAATTGTTTGAATAAATTTATTAAAGACATAAAGGTTATCAAATGACAAAAAAGTCAATACCTTGCAGTGGCAGATTTAGATGAGAGGGTCAGGGGGGTCCTGCCCCCCCAAACCCCTTCTATTTTTGAAAAAATGACAACAATGGTCCCCTCTTGAAATTAAAATTTTGACTAGCTGAATAATAGTTCTAAACCGTACCAAATGGCACCATTTTCCCTCTAAAATACCATTTTTTTCCAACGCCAACGGAGGGGTGGGGGGGGGGGGNGGGGGGGGGGGGGGGGGGGGGGGAGAGGTCGGCTTGCATCCGCAGACCCCCCCTTCAAATAATCCTGGATCCGCCCCTGCCTTGAACATTGAGTGCATTTCGTATTAAATTCTTCTTTAATTTTTGGCTTCATAAGTATAACATAAAATGTGTTTCTACTGTATGTATATCATGAGAATTATTCCTCTTTAGTCTGACCATTGCACCACCTATTTCGACTCCATTTCAATTATACCTTACTTTATTTCAATAACTTTCAATTTTTATTTTGATATTAGGCATTTATCTTTCCCTTCATGAAACTGACATTTCAGATATTACCCGTGTTTATACGTTTTTTTCATTTTCTTTCAGCAAAATAACCAGTTGCAGTTGCAAGATTATTTGAAGAAGCTTTTGTTTCCTGAGTGACTTTAATTACATTACAAATGAATGTTTCAAAAATAACACTTACTGGTCCTGAGAATTCCTTGTCTTAAAACGCAAGTAACACGAATGGATACCAAAGTCCATCGTACAAAGAGTACTTGCGGCAAAAAGGAACCTGCATGGCTCTCACTTACCAGATATCTTTCATCCATGCAATCTATGTGTGGACCAATTATTGTGAAGTACTTCAGACCCTGGGGCGGGGAATAATAAGGGATGTCAATTGTCACCCGTAAGTAGTATCGAATTGTGCCTATCTTGCTTTCAAATGAACACGGGAGAGCACTCTCCGGCAGTGTGAAGGAGAACGGAAACTTGTGATCTCCGCGGTGAAGTATGGGATTCGATTTGTCATCATGGTCGTTGTGCTCTAAAATGATAGAAATGTATATAGGTATAAATGTGCACACAAAGTTACACAGTGCAGCAGAATAACGGTCAACTCACACCCATGTCACATTAAAAGCAGGCCCAACCTTTAGTTCTACTAGTAGTCCTATTATTTACCCAACATTTAAAATGGAAACTCGTGGGCCTGGAACACAAATACCTTTAGACGAAGAAAAGTGACAGCCGCAATGCTGACTGTTGTAATTTGAACAAATGTCATGTCTATCATAAAGCCACGCAACCATTACCGTTGTTTAAGTAGTCAGGACGGTGGGTGGTGGTAGGCGGGAACTGACAGATTGCATATTGTTAAGTAGGGCCTAGGCAAAATACCATCTATATCTAGACATATAAGATCAGAAAACAGACCACGTTGAAGGTAAATTAATTTTTAACAAAATAAGAAACTTAAAACATGCTATCGTTTGCCTAGATTCGTTTTCATATGGAGGTTAAGATTTGAAAGAATGTTATACACTAAGTCTGGCAATCGAATACATTTACCTTTCCCCCATACACTTTGTTTATCTTCAATGAAGTATTGGTCTTCTTTTACTGTCCTCCGTTCACCACTGCGCATGATTTTCCATTCTACGTGCGCTTTGCCGCGCAAAAACACTTTGATTCCTAGAAGAAAGCATTGTTATTAGTTTTGCTGATGGATCTTCAAGAAGTCGTTATTATCAGGTCAACTTTGTGAAAGATCACTCGGTATTTTACTTAAAACCACAAACTCAAGATTGAAGGTGGCATTACCTTTTTTCTTGTGTGAAAAAAGTTGGCCAAATATATTGCACATATTTCATATTCGTTTTCCTTCCCAATTCAATATTTCTAAGTGCAGATACCGTGCCTAGCATTTAATTACATCCATTTGACTCACTCGTCAGTGAATGGTCACCATCTAGGCTTTGTACACTTATGTGACTTATATGCATATATCTGTTAATCTGGTTTTTGTCATATTTTAGTGACACGCCATGTATCTTTTTTTCATGACTAAAATTTTTAAAGATATGATACAACAACAACAACGATCTATGGTGAAATATTGTAAAGGTAAATAACTGCTTTACCGTGGATAAAACCGCTTGCATGTTTGCATTTGAATTTCACCATGCACAGTGGTATCTCAACTTTTTCAGGTCAACTTCATACTTGTTTTTAGCTTAGTGCATTATGACTATGCGTAACCAAAGGTTTTTTCTTTCATTTAAGTGGTTATTTTGATATATTTAAAATCGATAACGAAGGTATGTCAGCACGACAGTTTTCCAAGCCTTCATTCCAATTATCAATGCTCCCCAGCACAAACGTTTAACCATAAACAATAAGATAATCAAGTGTTATGTGTAGTTTTTGAGCCTTTGTTTCAATATTTGTTCGCAATACTCCCAAAGGTGGCACCCTAACTTTCAAACGTCCCTTAAACGACTTATCCGCAGCGACCAGCAAAGTTTGTTGGTCATAAAAATAAGTTTAAAATAAGTTTCAAACAGTCCCTTAGACTATGGGTGAAAAGTTTTCGAGAGTCCCGGCCATGTCTTAAAGGTCTTCCATTAACAGATATTTCGTTTTCGCCGATCAATACTCTAAATACTTTAGAACCCTTTCAAATCCCAATATGCATCTTGGATGAACAGCTGTTGTCAATTACTACTTTTTCTTTTTTCTTCTTCTTTTGATTGAATTCTTTTGTATTCCTTTGCGTTAATTCTTTTGTATTGTTTATCAGCATATGTCCCTCTCTGACAATCAACTGCACAGCGACAATTTGCGCTGCATTTGCATGGCTTTTCTGACATTGAAACTAAAATCAACGCAAACAAAGGAGGCATATTTCCGATTACATAAACGTTTGCCATAAATAAACGTCTTTTTGAAAAAGAGGCATCAGTAACAGCCTTTACATTTCCAAATTCTGTACATGATTAAGTCTACCATTCTTCAGTGCACACGTCTTGAATACTCTTTTTATTCAGCGCAAAATAGGGATTTTTAAATTATAAATTACAAATATTAAAATATCAGTCAACACATTTGCCGTTCAAATGCTCAATATGTAGAGGACGAAATCACGCGTTGCTGTTGGTTATGACGTTGCTTTGAGATCACTGTCACGTATCAGTCGCTTGTCTCTGACTAACGATGGCGTATTACCGTGTTTATGCCATTCTGATATACAATACCATAGAATTGGACGCCCCCGTTTAATTTGCACAATCGGCACCTTTCCTGTTTTTGCACATAGAACGCCCACAATTACCTGGAGATAATAACGGAGTTTTCACGTTCCTTTGTGGATGTATAATTAACCGAGTCAACACATTCCAAATACGTTTTATAAGTCCCAATTATACGGCATTGTTCACGTGTTCTATAACACGCACAAGTACAGCAATGGATGCTATTTTAGGATGTTCAGGATACTACGGTGTTTGTCAAAAGAGTTCAATATGCGATCATTAAAACAATGAGTTTTTCCCTTGAGCGTGACGAACGTTGTATCGCAGAAAGCCATCGAGATGGACTGTCCATAAAGCAGATTGCCAGACAGTGCAGAATGGCAGCAAGTCCAGCATCCAAACTGGTAGCAAAATGACAATGACGTCAAACGAACCATACTAAGGGCAGGCCTGCTTCTGGTAGAACCACATTAACAAATTTGTCATCACAATGGCTTTATGTCGACAAATTAAGTTACACATATATGTTCCAGGGATGTTCACCGGACAGTGACACATATGAAATTCTGATTGGTCGCTAAGAATAACACATTAATACATATCATGTACAAAACATTTGATGCAAGGCAATACGTAATATCCCCAAAAGTGTTTAACTTGCATAATCGCAAATATCTCTTTGTGACAGAACATGACAGGGATAAGACAGACAGAGCAGTGAACGAGAAGCAAGCTTCAGACAGCTCCAGCTTGCAATACCTGACAAATGGAGCAGGCCCCCAATGCAATTATTACAGAATCTGGTCACATGTGGCAGTGAAACTGTCTCAAAACCAGGGGAAAGACACACCCTCTTGATCTCCTCATAACTGATTTACTATTTATTGTCTGATCCGTCTTTAATGTCAATCAATTCAACGTGATTTAAGTTTATTTCTGTCAACAAACTGTTTTCACCGGGAGGTACGTATTGCCGAGTGAGTATACTTTTTAGCCACTTGACTTTGCTCATATCACCACCTTTTTTTGAAGCCATTCGCATTATTAAAATACATTGTGTGGTGAATAAATTAAATAGAAATGTTCAACTATAAATAAATATTTATAAAATATGAACGAAAACCGCATAGTCCTATGACATTTCAAACAAGAAGGTTTTGAAAAATTCAAGGTGATGCTTTACTTATGAGCATAAGTGTATATGACAAAGAGAAGAAGCGATCCTAGAATACCCAGTTAATCAATTTATCAATTTACGCCACCCATTTCCCCGATGTCTTAATCCAATCTGAATTATATATAATAACATGTGTGTGTGTGTGCTAATGAAAGTACGACCGGACTGAACATCTTCATATGGCAATTACAGTACCAGATAATATGCTGTTTGCTATAAATGACTCTCTTGCATTAGTTCCTAACACCGTTGACACGTAACAAAGCTTCAAAGTACTATTTTTGGGTGATAGTTGGCCTCATTATGATGAAAGAATTCAATTATATCAAATGCTGCGTTTGATTATCGAGGAGAAATCGTATGTCTACCAAGTGATACGGAAGATAGCGTTGACGGGGACATACCCTAGCTGTTCCTATATGGCAGCACTGGTACGCCCTTGTGAGAAACGTGCTTGTCCATGGGCCATAGTGAGAAACGTGCTAGTCCATGGGCATCCGCGGACCCTGCTTCAAATAATCCTGGATCCGCCTCTGTAATGCCCATTATCAAATAAAGTTTGTTCCTCAATGTATACCACATCCTTATCGTTAAGATATTCTAAATAAATCGGCTGTTTCAAGCAAACCCATACAATGCACCCAAGACATACAAACGCGGATGCTCATATTATTTCATGTGATATCAACTGGTTGGCTGGTTGATATACTTAATAAATCGGGGGGAAACAATCGTTATCTTAGTACGAGTCTTTCCTCCTCATGTTCCCGTTGGAATACATACATGTATATGTTGTATACAAGGTGGAATAAAAACAGCCAAAGCGAAATCCAATTATTCCAAAAAATGTGTACTATAACCCAACAAAGTTTCACTTAATACACATACTGCTAATTTCTCTTGCATATAAAATTTGACACAAAAGTTTTCTAAAAGCTACGCTATTATACGGGTTTAAGCGTGGTGTTATCTTTTGAATGTACCCTTACTTCAGACTCCAGTTGATTATCACTCAATGATCAGGTTAAAGTTACTTTTCGAACACATAAGAACATTATGAAAATGCTGTATCTAAATCTATAAAAGCGTACAGGTCAAGTTCACAATGTTCTGTTTGTAGTTTAATGTCAAAGCATAAGGGATTGCCTTTTTTAAACGGTATAGTGGCTGGAGTATCACAAAGACAAATGAAATGACCATACTTTGAAAGCTGGTACATCTATTCATGACAGAGTTTAAGCAGAGCACATTTATTGCCAAGTTCGTATCAAATGTATGAGACACTACAGTCAACTAACTGATAACGATCTATATTCCAGGACACAAGGAAGTATTTATTTATTTAGGAGCTCACACAACAACATGAGTGGTTCAAAAACACGATATAATGTTTCGATAACTTTATTGGTAAAGTCAAACATTTTAAAGAACATGCTTTCCTACTTAATGGATATATCCCTGGAATTCAATGAAGTGCGTGTGGGTGTTTCTTAGCATCGGAAATCATGAAAATTCCATCAGTGTCGATAATTTGGAAAAGTAGGCCTAGCATCTCCGATCTAAAATCCATGAAATGAATTGTTGGGTGTATGTCACTATTAGAAAACGAAGACTGAAGAGCGTTTACGCCAACAAACGGTGCCATCTTTGTGCGCAAGGGGCTCCAAAAGTCCAATACATCAAATGGCTTATCTAAATATACCTGTACAGTATACATTCGGTACAACACGTTTGTCGCAAGGAGGGGAATTTGCATGATGCAATGGTGATAATTCAAAAACGAGGTTTAATATACAAGATATCGAACTCATCACCTGGTGCTGGTTGCATCCAGACAATTACTAAATTAATAAATGCAATTGTTAAGGTTCGTCAAATCTTTATTGTGACATCTATGTAAGTACGATAATACAAATGCGCTTTGTGCATTTCTGGTATTATTATATTACGAGATACATATACAAATGCCTCCGCAAAATTGTAATCAAATATTATGTAAAGAGTTTCATAGGTCTGTTTTCATTTTATTATAGATCCAAATTTTGTTTCACCCGTTGACGGTTTCATCTGATCATTCATAAAATGAAAACTGAAATTACAAGTGACTGAACATTGGCTTTGGTCTGTTTAATATGTAGGCTGTGCTCTGATTAGATCGAGATTGAAACCCGAACCTAAACACAGGACTTCCGTTCCGTTCACAGGAAGTCCACGACCTAGATCAGAAAATTGACCAGGTCACTGCCCTCTTCATTAGACTCAAC